CATCTTCTTTTGATGCTTTCTACCCATGTTGTTGTTGAGTGCTGTTGAGTTGGTTTTGACTCATAGTGACCCTTTCCTAGGAGAGGCTGGTGAATTTGAACCACCAATCTTGTGGTTCAAATTGACCTTGTGGTCCAGTACTTTATCCCAGAGTGCCACACCAAGACTCCAAATATGGAATGCTTCACAAATTTGCATGTTATCCTTCCTCAGGGGTCATAGTAATCTTCTCTGTGTTATTCCAAAATTAGTATATATGCTGCCGAAGAGAGTATATTTTGCCCACAGAATCCTTCAATAATGCAAATTAAGGTTTAAATTTTTTCTTCAGTTCTTTTAGCTTGAGAAATACTGAGCACATTCTTCCCTTTTGGATTTCTTACTCCAGGTCTTTTGCACGTTTCACTATAATACTTGACTTTGTCTCCTCGAAATTTGAAATTTTCTGTTCAGCTCTTTGATCTCCTCATTTTTTTCCATTTGCTTTAGCATTTGTACTCTGAAAAGCAAGTTTCTGAGTCTCTTCTGACATCCATTTTGGTCTTTTTCTTCTTTCTTGTCTTTTTTATGATCTTTTGTTTTTTTTACTGAATGATGTTCTTGATGTCATCCCACAGCTCTTCTGGTTTTCTGTCATTAGTGTCTGATGTATCAAATCTGTTCTTGAGATGATCTCTAGACTCAGGTGGGATATGTTCAAGGTCATATTTTGCTTCACATAGACCTCATGGGAACAGACAGCTTTATCGTTCTTCCCCAAACCAGCTTGTGGGTTTGAACTGTCGACCTTGTGGTTAGCAGCTCAATGCTTAACCCACAGAACCACCATGACTCCTATTGAAATATAACAAATAGGTTCAATTCCAGGTTGAGTCACAAATTAGTAGTTTTAGCATTATAGTTGTTGGGATTCACAGATGGATAAAATATTAATATTGGGTTAATTTGGCTTTAGGATTTAAATTATTTCTACAGTTTATTTTGGTTTTGGAATTTCTTTTGTCTATTTCCATATCTGATGACAATTTTTCTTTCACAGAGAGGTGAGCTAAACTAGTATTCATGAATGGAGCAGGATTAGTGGAAAGAGCCTGTATCTATAGATACAGTCCACTGGTAAAAGTAACTTGCTGAGTTAGAGGATAAAATCAAGAGAGATTCAGCATATACCACTTTGCTGCCTACTGAACTAGTTCTCTTTAAAACATGCCTCAATTTTTACCCCTGAGGGTTTTTTTTGCCAAAATTCTTTGAAGAAGTCTTTCGATCACTTGTGTTCAAGGTCAATTGCCTAACTTTACAGCCAAACAAACAGTATTATTTGTCTTCTATCTTGTTGTTGTTGTTGTTGTTAGGTTGTTTGGTGCCATGGAGTCTGTTCTGACTCATAGCGACCCTGTACAGGGTTTCCGAGGTTGTAAATCTTT